CAGGTTCGAGCCCTGCTAGCCTCGTTTTTTATGATTTTAAAATCGCATCAAATAGGCGAATTGGTGCTGAGAATCGAGAAAAATACTCTCTCATATGAGGAATTTACGCAGTCCTCGATGGCCACTTCCTCTATATCAAGGTACACTTTCATTATTTTACTTATTTTACAAGCACCTCCAAGTCAAATATTCTTCAGTCTCTTTTTTTGTCGCTATATTCTTTACAGCATTTGACATTGCCAGAAAACACACCATGCATTGCCGAGTTTATCCGTGTTAAGGGAGGTTCGACCATTGTAGCGAGCATTTTATCCCCATTTTTGTATCGATACGAGATTGTATATTCGGTACTTGATTTAATTTCGATATTGTTTGAAAACGACAAACTTTGCAGCGGCATTGTCCCAAATGCTTCTGAGTATCTGCCTGCAATTATTTCTCTGTACGAGGAATTGGTATTTTAAAATCTTTATAGCTAGAATCAAAATGGCCTTCTGGAAACGTTGTCTATTCTTGTTACCCGTTTGCTAAACTCCTCGCCCTTTAATCCAAAGGAGACAAAGTCGCTTACATTTTTATCGCTAAAGCTGGTGGAAGAATTTCTATTGATGCAAAATTTATGCGACATCCATCACCAGGAAGCATTGTCGTTCAATTTTGTTGATCGTTTTTACATTTCTTTCGGCTTTTTTTCCTCTTCCATGATGGCCATAGATTCGGTGGTTGTAAAAGTTAAAAATTCCGAAGAAAAGGTGAACATTTCAGAAGTTGATGAGTATGTGGCAGAGCTGCTGCCATTGGCCTTGCGGTCCAGCCAGGAGCTAAAGAAAACATTTGGTTGTCTAGCTTTTGAGCCCTTCTTGTGTCACCTACAAGTAATGACATCTCGATTTATTGCCTCCTTAGACCGTGTTTTCGATGGATGGCGAGTTTACAGAGAATGTCTTTGATTGCATATGCGACTACCTTGTTGACGAGGCGGTTAGGGATCATGAGCGCTTACGGCTTGTAGTCACCACTGTTATCGATCTTTTCAAGTATGTTGTGCCCTAACTTTTAGGCTATCCCTTTCTACTCAAGACAAAGAAAAGGCATTTTCACAACAGGAGAGGCTTCTCAAGTTGTTGTCGTATTGTTTAAGCCCCCCTTTGTGTAAGATATCTAAATCTCTAAAAGAGCTGGGGCTATTTTTCATCAATGAAGGCGGTCTAAAATATTTGTTTATTCCTTTGTTGTCTCCTTTCTTTTTGGGGTCTGAATTGGTAGATGGGGATCTTGATACCGGAGACGAAGATGGAAGCATCCAGGAGTATTTCTTTTGCATTCTTTTTTCGTTGCTGACCAACTTGTCGGATGATGCAACTTGTGTTCGCCGAATCACTTCCAAAATTACTGAAAATAGCTTTGTAAAACTGAGACGAATATTTGAAATCAGGGAGTACAACCGCAATTTATTGCAGGAAAAAATGGCAAAGCTACAATATGAAGACCCCACCATTGATGCTTCCCTGCTCGACCAAGGTTCATTTGTGTTGCAGCTGATCGACTGCTCACTTTTACTTTTGATATCTCATAACGACCATGATAGTACGCATTCTGAAGAACCGCCCTCAAAGCAACCTCGGCACACCAACGTCATCCTCGAAGCTGTGGCGTTGCTTATGCAAGAGGGCTCTCATCAGGTAAATGAAATATATGGCACCGTCAAAGGTAGGAGTTGACCTTTAAATTACCCCTCGCGTAGAATACATAAAAATGTTGGATAGTGAAGCTGCTTCTGAGCTGAAAGAATTTCTAACATCGATAATCAAAACTTGCAACTTTATTGATCAAGAAGAGCGCACTTTGAACAGCTAGCTGCCGCTAAACCTGAATTTACAACATGGCCAGGCAAAAGATCGCCGTTATATGAAGATTTAATTAACCAGTAAATTCGCTGTTTCTATTAGCGTTGCGTTGATATGCCTCAAAACATGTTTTAAACGCCAGGACTTCGGGCTGGCATTTACGCCAGTCCTTATGATCGTAGTAGCATTCCAATAGGGCTTCATTCAACTCATTACATCCGGTCTTGTCTAGTGCAGCCTCGTATGGATCGTCTTCACTTTGAGAATGATCTCGAACGCCGATTCTAGGTTGTCTCGCGTGCACATCCGCTCCTATTGGAGTAAGTGGGCATGCCTGATTGGGGATGTGATCCTCCATACTATGATGCGAAATCAAAAAAGAATTTCAAGTCCATCTTGAGGAGCGGCTCAAATTTAAAAGCCGAACATAACATTTTAATTGCACTCCAAAAGTTGCGGACCAAACACAGACGGCAATACGACTTTTGATCAATTATCGATGTCCTCATTCATTGATAAATTTCTTTGTTTTGATTTGCTTGTCCCCTGGATTTTATTTTAAAATGCCAAGCGTTTGCCAGCCGCAGCTTATAACGCTAGCACACTCGTCAACCACATTTTGCCAGCTAGAATATTCTCTTCAAGCGCTTGCAATGGCGTCCACGCTTCGTGTCAAGCGAGTGCTTCAGTTGATCCATCCATCGCTCCAGAACGGCTTTGAGAGCAAATCCAAGGTATGCCTCTGCCCTTCAACAATAGAATACCCCTGTGGTCTTGGAAACATGGATTCCGGAGTCGCATTTCACCAATGCGCCCTCCACAAAGGGGCTAGAAGATGAACTTATCAATCCGCACTTTCAGATTTCAGAGAACTCATTGCCAGGACTTCGATTCTCCGTTGGAGCGATTACGCTACCCAACCTGCTGCCATTGAAAGGCATTTATTTGCTTTGGCTAACCAAAGTGCAGATGGCATTTATTCTGGCCGTCTTGTTATGTGCAAGGCTGCTGTTGGGCGCTCTTTTTGTTGCTCTAGTGCAGATGAGCTGAAGGAGATTCCAGAAGGATACCAATCTCTTTTTATTGATGAAATGCTATCTAAGGAGCCACCGTGTATGCGGGACGACATCCATTAAATTTAGATTCGCTCGCTTTCTGTTCTGAAGAATCTATTCCGGCTTCCGTCGAGTATGTCATTAAAGATAGACAGCTACTTTTACCGCTCTATCTTGTGGAGGTTGAATGGGATCCTCAAGAGGAGAAACGATCTCGCCAGGTATTCCAGCATGTGGGATAAATGTAGACCCTTTCGTGCGAAAACTGCGAGAAAGCAGAGGCCGTCATGTATTGCCAAGCAGATACAGCTCATCTTTGTGCACTGTGCGACAAGGAGATACATGCTTCAAAGCTGGCATCTAGACATTCCCGAATGCCACTTGAAAAGGTATTTTTTAACGGTAACGCCAGGGCCTCCATTGCATCGTCAACTGCCGCTTGCATCCAGAGCGTCTTGCAGAGTTTTTTTGCCCCACCTGCCATGTGGTTGTTTGCCTTTCTTGTAAAATGATTGGTCACCATTCCAGTGGCGATGCAGCTGAGCATCCTTTGGTTTCCGTTCCAGAAGCATATGCCTCCGTTGTTTCTGCTTCCAACAGCCCAGACCCTATCATCGATGAGGGGCGCAAATCGGTTCTTAAGCAATTCAACCGCGTCCAAGCAAAGGCAGAGGTTATCCTTTCAAATGCCTCCCAAATCAGAGAACAGCTTTCCAAGGCATACAATTTGGCCCTTGCGGATCTGGATCAACAGATTGCTAAAAAGGTAGTGGATTTTCCCTTTTCCTTTTTCCATTTCTCATATTTTGATTTGCTAATTTTCAGCTGAGAGTCCTTCGAGGCGATGCTTTTCTGTTTGGCAGACTGCTTCAAGGTCTTGGAAGATCAGCAGAGTTTCTGCGCTATTTAAAGGTTGGAAGAGATGCGCCTCTCTTTTTGCTTTCTTGGCACCATTACTTGCAAGCAAAGGTGTCGATGTCTGTTATTCCTGCAGCCCACTCTTCAGCCGTTGCCAGGCCAACCGATCCAAGCCTTTGCCCAGATACGCTATTGGAATTGAAGGGATATTTTTCCATCAATCCCATAAACTCACTAGCTGCTTCCTCGGCAACATTAAACAGCCAAATAACTATGGCAAAGTCTTACCATTCTGCTCTGTTAAAGAAGGTGCCGGACCAACAATCAGAAGGTGCAGACAGAGCCCTTTTTTCCCACCATTAAGTAGGCGGTAGCTATATACACCAAGGCCAAAGTTTTGTTTCAAATAAAGGTAAACTTTGATCTTTTTATTCGCGGAAATTATTGTTGCAATCGATGGATATTCTTCGGGAGAGGGGGGGGCATTCAAATACTATATAAATGTTAAACAGGAGGCGCTTGTGAACACGAGCGGAATAAACAGCAATTGGCTCCAGACGTCGGACGGCGGGTATTGTTCGATTTTGCGCAACAACAAAATATTGAAGATATGCACGATAACACGGCGCCAACACAGCCAAAAAATTTTAGCAACATAAAGACGACAACCCAGAACAGGAATACGGCGCCCCCAACAAATCCTATCAAGGGGTAATAGTGCATTTTGGACTTTGGGACCCACCAGATTGGCTCTGGTAAATCGGAAAACTTGCCAACTGTATTTGTGATGACAGCATCCACACCGAGGCACCATGCCTGCGAGTAAAGATACTTTTCATTGAGAACATACATACACATCCAGAATGGCTTTGGCTCTTTAACAGCATCATTTTCAGATTTTGTTGGATGCAATGCTAACGAAGCCTTTACCTTCTTCACCAGCCCACTCCATCCCTTTTTCCATGCCTTGAGGCTTTGGGTGGGCGGTGGCAGGCCACGCACGCTTCGGATCGCTTGAGTAGAGACAAAATACTCCACATTCAGCCCTTTGCTTGAGGGCGCCGGGAGGTTCCCCATTAATGCAGCAGACTTGTCCCCAATTTTAATTGAAGCTTCTTTTTTCTTCGCAACCGATCCCCCCTTTGAAATAAGATCGGCAACCTCATAGTTAACGGCTGAAGGGGACGCTGGAAACGCATTCTCTAGCGAAGGCTTCACATTGAGCAACACCACCTGGGGCGAAACATTGGGAACGGACTCGATTACAGATTGAACGAGATCATTGTGCTTGCCCTTAAAGGGATGGTCCTGAGCTTTTGGTGAGCGAAGATCAAAAATTATCCTCTTACTGGGATATTGGACGAGAAGCTCAAGAACAGCCTTGAATGTGGGGATTTTTTCGCCCTCCGTTGCACCCAAAAGAGTTAATTGTTCCAAATCTTGCATGGAAAAGCTTTCGGCTGCATTTGAGCTTCGATCTGAGAATACAGATCTGATATTTGTAGTTCTTAATAGCAAATCATCGTGAAAACAAAACGGAATTCCATCATTCGATATTGTCACGTCGGTCTCTATGCCAAAAACCTCTGAATGCTCCAGTGCAGCCTTGAATGCAGAAATGCTGTTCTCCGGAATGCCTCCCTCTGTCAATCCACGATGAGCAAATAGCTTTGGCTTCGGGGGAAGTTCATCCCCGCTGAGAAAATGGGCAGAATCGAACCACAGCGGGAGGGATGAAAAAAACACGGCACCGCCCCATATGACGAACGTCCCGACTGTCAATAGACTTAATACTCTGACTCCCCTGATCGACATAGAGCAAGGAGGCGACCTTTCGTTGGGATTATATTTACATGCATGAGACAGGGCTGATGACCACGCTAGCAAAAGCGGAAGACCAGCAACGGCATATAACGACTGAACAACGAGAAAGGTTGGCGGAAGAAAAGATTCCAACAGTCGCACAGGCGCCATAAATAGCTGCGGTGCAAACCGCCAAACCAAAATTGGAGCAGCGCCAAGGGTGGCAATCAAAATCACAATGTTGACGATAAAATGAAAATATCCAATTGACATCCTAATTTTGGCTGCATGGATACCCGTAGCATTTTCATTTCTGGGCCTCCAAGAGGAAATCCAAAACTTGCGAATCGGGTGAAAGTAGAAAAGCAGACCCGTATATGCCCAAAAAATCCAAATTGCACACCAAATCAGCGAAGCATACGGCAAGGGATACCCAGTAACGTATCCTGTGATTGCATATGTAATTTCGTTCCAATCGTTTTTCAGGGAAAAATAGAAGAAATTCCATGCGCTAAGCACGAGAAAATTTACGGAAATCATAATACATCCAACAAGATAGCATATGGGAATATATATTGAAGCGGGGCTTAGAATGATGGGTGCTTTTGCGTGTTTTTTGGCGGCATGTTTTGGATCTGGCTCTTTTTTTGAAGAAGCAGCGGGGGTGTCTTTTTTTGGCTCGGAAGCTGCATTTTTCGATGCCGATAAAGAAATTAAGGGGATTTCCTTCTTAGGCGAGTTGCTTTGAAGTTCGGAACTTTCCGGTATGGCATATTTGCTGTCTTTAGGTTTAGGGAACAACTTGCTAAAAGGATTCACAACCATGGCCTAGTGAGAATGTCCGTGAGCCATCGCTATCTAGAGAGACATTGCAAACAATTGGAACAAAGGTGAATTAAATTTAAATTCGGACGAATCGGACAATTTTGGTGAATTTATTATTCGACCAATCAAATGAAATCTTGACTATCGAAGCCATCGTCGTCGGCAGCATCGTCTGCACCCAATATCATTGAATCCTCGTCCTCGTCGTTCTCAGAATTAATATCGGAATCTTTTTGTGAACTTTTCGACTTGCCGCCTTTAGAAGGATTTGCTCCATTATCGCCCTCTTTGTCGCCGATGGAGGAAAGTTGAGTGGCCATTAGGCCTTCTGTATATGTTTCCTGGGGATAGCGCAGGGCACTTTGAGCAGATCCTTTTGCCTTCAAGCAAAAGACAGTTCTTGAGGCCAGAGTCTTTTGGGGCTCAGAAGTGGCATAGACGTTGGAAGTTGGCTGTGTCAAAAGAACCCCGTCCTCAATGTTGCCCTTCAGTATGCCATCGGATATTGCCTGAACAATAAGAAATTCCAACTGCTGTTTAATGGGGTGGTTATTACCTCTTTTTCCGAGTTGATATGCAGCTTCAACGCAATATCACCAAGAGAAATGCGAGAATACGCTAAAGAGACCAAACGCAATCCGGCTCTAATCACGCAGTTTCTCAATCTGAACGTAAAAAAGGCTTGGCAATACCTGACGACAAGATCGATCAGCTTATCCTTTTCATAGTTCAACCTGAATTTGGACATTGTCTGCTCGAAAAGCGAAATGTCTCCCTTTCTGACAACTAATGATAAAGCTAGGCACTAGAGACCTTGTACCAAACTAAAATATGGCTGCAGGGATTGCTCCAAAATTGTGCTCTTTTCAAACAAAGACCGTTCTGGAAGTTCTCCAGCCAAAAGAAGCACGACCACAAGTAGCTTTTGCACCGATTGCTGGAACCCAATGGCAACAGACGAAGACTGAGGGCCACGTCGGACACTTTCGTTTAGCAGATCTGCCGCAACATGATAAGACCCTCGCACGGCATGTATGAGGCCTACCATGATTCAAAAGCTATGGAATACCCAAATAATAAAGATGGCGAGCATGTTGATTATTGTCTGCCTTTTCCGGGAATGTTGTTCGGGACACAAACGCAGCTGCTTGTTCGTAATCATTTAGTAGAACGTAGCAACGAAGAATAAGATTGATCAGTTGAGCTTGACAAGCCTCGTCTCCGCGAACACAAAAGGATCTAAATGCGAGCAGCAGATTTCTACAAAGTAAATGGCCAATTGTGGTACTTTAAAAGAGGCCTTACAAGGCCAGCTCTTTCATATGCAAGCGAATTTAAATAAAATAGCTTTGCCGAGAAGGTGTCAAGTTCCCTGCGATTTACGGTCAATACAAATTTTGAAAGAAAAAAGGTAAAAAGGCATGCCTTTCTATTCAACTCCTTGGAGGGGTTGATCTTCTGCATGTTTAATAGGCTGAAGGACACCAAAAGACCGAGAAATAGCAGTGACCCACAGAACTTTTCTTCCGATAAATTTCCGCTGACCTCTTGATCACCAAGTCCGCAGAGTAGAAACTGGACCGAAGAACGGCTCAGTGGAAGTTCATCAGCTAAACATTAAGCAAAGCCGTGCATACTGATTTCCTGTAAGATTTGACAAAGTTTTTTGGGGCAATTGAGAGTAAAAATCAGTTTTTTCAAACTGTACAAACCGGAAAGAATTTTTGCCATATGATCTTCCTCACATGAAAGCATGTAAAGGTCCAATTCACAAAGACAGTGGCGAATTTCTACCAATAAAGCAAAATAGGGTACCTTTAGCGATTGCCCGTTCGATATTGGTATCACCGTTACAAGTTTCCCCAGCAGAGCAAGGGATATTTGCGTTTAACGGTGGAGCGTCGTTAACCGGTTTCATTTCAACAACACAGGCGGAAGACATCACGAACTTGTTAAAATTGAAAATTTGGATTTTAAATTTTATTGATCAAACATATCCCATTGATGAATCCGCGTCAGATCAATTCCAGCAAAGCAGTTCGAAAAGAAATGGCGAAAAAGCCTGTTGAGGAGGATCGGTCGCCAGCACCATTGCCTTTGGTGTTGCGATTCTTTGGGCTTGAAATCCCTTGGCTTTCACTGTCAAATTTAAAAAACTATTCGTACAAGTCGAAGGATTATTCCTTTATCGCCAATTATGTTTTGAAGCATTATTGGAACTGGGCTGCAGAGTTTTTCCCCATGTGGATGGCGTAATTTTTGCGTGCTAATACATGTAGACCCAATGTGATTACGCTATCTGGGTTTTTCTTTACCATTTTTGGCGTGGTTCTTTTGTCGATGGTGTCGCCTGATTTGAAAACAGAAACGCACAGCTTTGTATATTTCATTTTTGCTCTTTGTGTTTGGTTAAATTCGACATTTGATAATGTGGACGGTAAACAGGCTCGACGAACCAACTCTTCGTCCGCACTTGGGGAATTGTTTGACCACGGCTGTGATGCGCTGTGCGTCAACGTAATGGCGGTCTTTCTTATCGGTTTAGTTTGTTTACGCAATGCAGATCGCCAGCCTTGGCATAGGAGGGGATCTGTTTTTCATTGGCTTTCCATTGATTCTTGTTGCTTCGTTTTTCCTATGCACGTGGGATACCTTCCATACTGGATGCCTAAACCTGGGATACATTAACGGACCTACTGAGGGAATAATCATCAGCGTTTCGATGTTTCTAACCACGGCTGTCTATGGTACGGCTCGTTTTATGATATTAGGAATCTCCTTTTGGAAAATGCCCTTTTATACGTTGACCTATGGGCATTCGACGCTTGAATTGACTCGCCTAGATGCGGCTTACTATCTTTTAGTATTTCTCTTTTTTACGTATCAGCTTCCGTCTTGGTAAAAAATCTCTCCTTATGTTTAGCATCATTTCTGTGATTTTGAAGCGCAAGCCCTCATCGTCGCGCCTGGGAATACTTTTGTCGCTGTTCCCGATCCTCTATTTTTCGGGGTGCTTTTTTTTCTGGGCCAGTGGCGCATATTCTTTGGCATACGTTAAATACCCAATAATTTATATCTGCTCGTTTGCACTTGTTTTTGGAAGAATGACCACTAAAATCATTTTGTCCCATGTCACGGCATCTCCGTTCCCCTACTTTACGGTTTTGATGATCCCCATCGGCGTGGGCTCCATTTTGGCAAACTTTTGGAGCAGGTAGAGAGTTCATCCAATGCTTGATTTTAGGTTTTTGGAGTACGAACTTTACTTTTTGTTCGGCTTTCTAATATTTGCTCTGCATGCCTACCTTCTTTGGGCATATGCAGTGATAGTGCAGCTATGCAATTTTTTAAATATACAGTGTTTTCATTTAAACAAACAAAATAAAAATTGAACTTGTCGCATTTGCAAGAATGTTCTGGAACACTAACGCCGTGCATGCATAAATTGGGTTGAAATTTTGGGTGTTTGCTTGTATCAAACATCGCTACGAAGCCGGTCCCGTTTGGGGGTGTGCTTTGGGGAAAGTCCTCGGACGGCCGTGTTTCACATGGTTTCACTGAAAGAGTGGCGCTTTAATTGCGTTTGGTGCCTTTGGCATCCTCTCGTCATATTGATAGTAATGCGATGGGCGGAAAGTGATTTCTGCTAACTCAATGAGGCTTACTTGGTACAAGCCATTTTTAAAAACCATTTTTTGAATGATGAATACAATTAGTTCTGATTTTTGATGAACTTCAAACCGAGCTTTTTAATTCTGACATCCCTCCTTTTTATTGTTGCCTCCTAAATAGGTAGATAAGTGCATGCATAGGTAGACAAGTGCATGCATAGGTAGACAAGTGCATGCATAGGTAGACAAGTGCATGCATAGGTAGACAAGTGCATGCATAGGTAGA